TACATAGTTGCTTTTAGATTGTTGGGGAAAATAGCACAATTTTATGAATATTAATTAACATGTCATTTATAAAATCATAAAACAACCAGAATGCAAATCAAATATATATGATACTATAGCATGTGATTAGGATAGTAATAAATTAGAAGAGCCGTCTTGTGATATCTGAGAGGCATGTAATCATTGTCCTAAAGCAACTATGTCTTTCTACTCGAAGGTATTAACGAACATACTTAGCTCCAAGATCAAACCCAAATTTACTCATAGTAGCACCTTCTCAAGGGTCACATCTATTGAAAGGTTAAGATGAACCTGACTCGAATCGAAGTTGCCCATAAAATCATGATAGTAAAAATACTATGCTATTCAAAATATTGAGAAGAAGGAGATTGTAAAAGAAAATCAAATAAAATGATAAATTGATGGAACATATAGCAAAGGAGGCAAAGGACTAATTGAGATAAAGGCTTGGGGAATATGGCTGATCCCCGCCGACAACTCACTTGGGCAGCCTCTGATGGCTTCTTTATATAACTTTTTTTCCTTGTAACAGCCGGTCCATTAAAACTAAGATATGGCAAAATTGAATCTGCCATTCAAGTATCCAATTATAACGGTTGTAACTGAAATAAAATAATTAGAAAGTTTTAAAAAGCTTTAATTTATTCCAACATTACTGTCATTTTTTTAAAATAATTTTTATTTTTCCTTATTTCTGAATTTTCTAGTTTTTATTCATGTGTGTTGGTGCAAAATGGTATTTGTGAAAAATGTTTCGAATATTAAATATATAGATTCATATTTAGTGAACAAACTTTTAATGTAAACAAGTACACATTGAGAAATAAATTAAAAATTATTCTAAAACGGCATTAAACTCCAAACAGGACCATTGAATGATCATAAACTCAAATAGTACTGTCTGAATTGTAGTAGGACCAAAAAAATGTGTTCTTCCTTACCATTCCAAAAATCTTTCGCTTCCAATAGCTTCATCTACAAGCGAGGAAAAAATAATTACAATAAATATGGAATATTAGGGAAAATATATAAAATCTCATTTATATTTTAGATTGTATGAGTTCAATATTTGGTCAAATGAGATGTAATTGTACTGAAATGGGGGCAAAATCTACATTGTATATGATTCTACATACCTTCCACTGTTTTTGAACAACATCTTCTATGAACGGTTTTCTCTCATATGCTATTTCGGAAGCAATTGCGAATAGAGTCGGAAAATATCGGCTATCTTCGGGCTTGATGAGCAGGTCAAAATCCTTTCTCTCGTTTGCTTTTTTCATAGTCGATAAATAGTTGGGTAATGCGTCCTCCGGGACCTCCATCATTACTGCAAGACACGCATTCAGGGTCGACTGTTCACTAGTTTATGTCTCCCTAGTTAGGTGTAATTTTTGAAATAAAATTTATCCTCGTATCGTTGAGGTATTAGTTAAAAAAAAAACTCGAGTCCAAACTTGTGTCACATATACCGATGTCTACAAACTAATTATATAAATTATATTGTCATGAGTCTAACGAGCAAAGAAAAGCATTATGTAAACTCGGCTCATTTATAAAATGAGCTCCACAAATAATTTTGAACTCGCGATCTATTCATTTCACAAATGAATAAACTTAAACGAAATCCTGATACAAATGACCAATGCTAACATGGTAAGAAAACAGACTGACTTTGTAATACGTTTACTAAAAGCACACAAGTTTTTAATAACCTGATTTCTCAATTTGTTTTCCAACCTTTAAACTCGAAAAGATTTGCAGCACCTTCCTCAACCCGCTACCTGTGGGTTCAGAAGAAGATGGTTTTACGGAAATTTGGTGATTCAAAGACATTTGATTATTGGAAAGCACGATCTGGAAGCCAAGGGAAGAAGGTGGCTAGTTGAGAATTTTATATCATAACAACTCAACTGCATAAACATATTTATAGACAGACATGCATCGTGGTAAGAATATCTTACCCAAGGAGCTAACGTGCCAAAATTTACATGAAAAATTAGGAGTAATTATAATTTAATAAGTTGAGTTCCAACAAAATAAAATCAATCCTTAAATGAAAATATCAACCCAAAACAACTCCATTTTGTTATAACATTTCATTTATTTAAATTGTAACCTTATCTTTATTTTATATAACTTTGACATAAAAAAATATATTATTTAGACTGATCGGGAAAAACTGATTAGCTTTGTTGGATTTGTTTATATTGATGTTGAAGCACATACGTAATCGCGTACCCAAATCAAAAGTTCATGAACTCGAGTGGAGCGAATTACTTAGTAAAGAGGTTGCAACCCAATGAGCGGCCTTTGTGTAGGCTCTAGGCTTGTGTACAAAGTTAAGGTTGTATAACCTAACATAAATTCTAATGTTTTCAACAATGACACTAATTTCCCATGGGGGAGCTGGAGCTGAGCTTGATTATATTAAGGCAGTCACTTATGATGGGGGCGTTTGTGATCAAATGGGCTTCAGCAAGAAGGCAAGCTTGCCTCGCTGCCTCTGCTTCAGAGCAAAGACTGGACCTAGCTGGGAAAGATTTAGCAAAACCCAGCTCAAGCACACCCCTCTCTTTGCAGACCACCACTCCACAAGCACCCTTAGTAGAAGCAGACCTGAGGGCGCCATCACAGAAGATGCAAAAATTGGAAGTAGTTGCTAGTTGGCTCTCATGCCTCAACGTTGGGGAGTCCTTCTGTTCCTTCGGTGAATTAACAACATCAATACCGAGCTGGTTTTCCACAGAGCTTGTGCACGAATGACAGTGGCAAAGGCGTTAACATCTTCCTTGTTGAAAACAATTGGTTTCTAGCGTTCCAAATTACCCACGCTACAAAAGCCATTTTCCCCACCAAACCAAGTATGTCCTGCACCACGATCACCATGTGAATAAGCAATGAGAATCTTTGGTCCACAGACATAAAGGAAGATTGATCCCCTTGAAATTTGAGATCCATGCCAAACCAGACTCTTCTTGTCTACTCGCACTCGAACAGAATGTGCTCAATTGATTCTGGAGCCATCCAGCAAATCTGACAAAGAGGAGAAGAGGCACACTTTCTTCTAAACAGGTTCTCCCTTGTGGCAAGGATATTTAGACAGGCTTTCCACCATAAATGTTTGATTTTTGGAACCACTTTCATACTCCAAACGGATTGCCACAATTTAGGATGAGGAGAAAAGGAGGAGCTGCCCTCAATCTGTTGCAGAGCCAACCTGATTCCCAATCTATACCCTGACTTGACTGTGTATACGCCTTTACTGTTAGGCCACCATATCCTCTTGTCTTTCCCTCCTCTAAATGCAAGCAGAATGGTTTGTATAGCAGACACCTCTTCCCCTAAGATCGCACTGTGCAAAATGGGGGAGTTCCATCCTCTCGGTTTTCCATAATAAAGTCTGCAGCCTTAGTGAACTGACAATCCTGTTGTTTGGGGAAGTGACCATCAAATTGGTAAGAAAAGGAACCTATTTATCGTCCCAGAAGCTTATATCTCTGCCATCACCCACATGCCACATTAGACCTTTCTCTAGCAGCTCTCTGCCATGGAGTTAGCTGTTCCAGACCCAAGATGATCTGGTACCTCGCTTCGCCTTCATAAAATCATCATCAGGGTAGTAAATTGCTATCATAAACTTAGCCTAAAAGGAGTCAGGTTAGTGGATTAGCCTCTAACATTGCTTTGCCAGTAGAGCTTGGTTGAGTAATTTAAAATCCTTGAACCCCATTCCTCCAATGTTTTTAGCTTCCACCATTTTGTCCCATCTTCTCCAACATATTCCTCTTTTGTCCTCGCTCCCTTTCCACCAGAAATTCCTTACATAATATTTTAGACCTAAACAGCTCTGTTGCAGAGGGCACCACCAATGCTAAAAAGAGACCAGCATCCAAGTTGCAGCTACATTAGTACTAATTTTGACGAGCTTGATTTTAACCATGGGAGAAAGATGCTACAATGCTTTATCAACCGTGACAGCAACTTAAATATGTCACGGCATGGCAAACAGATTATCAGATGAAAGTTGTAACTTTAGATGAATCAAGTACTCTATGCATAGCTTCAAAGAATATGCCATCTCACAAGCTTATATTAATTACATGACTTACTTGTTTCGGATTGAGAAAAGAGGCATGGAATTGGACCAGTGATGAGCCTAGCTTGTTTTAAGCAGAATTTGACTCCCAAGATAAAAAAAAAAAATATATGCTTCTCACAGGTAGAAGCTCAAAACTATATCAACTCTCTAATTACGCCATGTAACCCTGTCCACCTTCCCTGTATTGAGATTCATGGTGCTTTTTCCCGCAGAGTTGGAAAATAAGAGTTTACCCACAACAAATCATAGTTATTACATTTTTGAAAGATTGAAAAAGAAAAAGGGATTCCTAGTTTTTCCTTTGCCATGAATTAAATAATATCCAACACAAGACCATTGCCAAGAGTCAGATTTTTCTTTAATACTAAAACTATTAGGGCAACCATATTAAAGGAAGTGGAATTTGAGGAGGACCATTACGGGTTATCGAGTTTCTAATGATTCGTGAAGGAAACGGGATGACAAACACATGAACAAATCAATAATCTCACTTCTCCCACTTTATCTGTAGGGATCATAACTTTGGTCCAGCCAAACAACAAAGGAATCAAAGCCAAAACAGGCATATTTATCCTTTTTCAAATAGCTAAATGACCAGGGACGATGTTCTACATACATTATCTGGGGAAATAAACAAACAATTCAATCAGGAAATTCAACAAACAGGTAGAGACACCTAGTTCAAGCACAAATTGATGTTGGCATATGATAATTGCAGTGCACACAACAGCAGATTGTAAGTCCTCACAATATCTTTATAACGTGACCCAGAAAATAGCACAGCAATGAAACAGAACGAAGCATGATAAAAAAGCAGAAAGCTACCTGGTCATAATCAATATAGCCAGTGCTCTCATTCAATCTATATGGCATGGTCTCAAAAAGTATAGAGACCGCTGATATCTTCTTTGTGTCGGTCTGTCCAAATAAAGGAAATATGAGACTACATTTAGTATGCCAAAATCCAAAGGAAATATTATTTTGTATTTTTTAATTTTCATATACAGATGCGTTTCGAAATATAAAAAAACAGCAATGAATCCAACGAAAAAAATAAATTTTTTGAGCAAATGTTACAAGTTACAACGTATACCACAAGATTACTGATAAAACCTTGCCATATGTAGATAGATAGATATATAGATAGATAAAAATGCAATTACCTTCCCACATTGCAGGATCCAACCGAAACGCTTCCAAAGCACGTTTCTGGCACAAGGATTCTGCTATGTCAATGTACCTGACAGCAGAAAGTCAATAAAGACTACACGGTGAAAATGGGATGAACTATGCGTAAACACACTAATGAAAAGGAAATCAACCAAAAAAAGAAGCGGTGTGCACATGCTAATGCTAACTGATATTAGCAAGTATAATTATTAAGAAAAACAAGAAAGAAAAAAAAAAAAAAAGCACATAGATACTCGTTTCCACCATAGTATCTTGCACCGGGATATCCTTCACTGTATTTGTTAGTCATTACAGACCCAACTGCTTGCATCACAAAAACAGATGTAAAATTCTCCGAGGGAAAGAGCTCAAGTCCCTATACAAACACGGCATAAAAATTCCAGAAAACATGATAAGTTCCAGGTTCAAATGCAATTTCACAATCATGCTGAACAGGAATTCTAAATAGAAATATCCTTTGGTTACTTAGAAATTGCAGGAACAGAAAAGGAACATTTAATTCTCCCTTTATACATCCAGTTGGCGTTCACACGTTCGCACACACACACACTCTCTCTCTCTCTCAAACATGTATACACAGAGTATGAGTACCTTCCATTGTCTCGCTTTCTCGAGCTCGATAATATTAGCAATCTCCGAATCGACAACCTCAAGCGGAGCATTCAACTGCTTTGGCACTGCAATTATTTGAAAATTTGACGTTAATTGAACACAGAATAATAATTAAAAGAACAAGTTATGTCAAGGAATTGAAAAACTATATCAAACAGTTTGTAGGCGTACCGTGACACCAGCCTCTTGCTATGCGTACAGCTCCTAACTCATAAATTAAGGCGACTATCATTGAATATGATACACCAATGGCTGACCATGCTTCAAAAACTCCCCAAAAGTAGACACATATTGGAGGCATTGCCCATCAGCATTAAAAAGTAACACAAAATGAAGTTTGGATATATTTTTTCATTTCTTTTTTTTATTGTTTTCTTTTGTGTTTTTTTGGGTGGGGGGTTGGGGGGGGGGGGGGGGAGCACCGATATTAACACTAAGTTGATGAACTAAATTGGAGATATCACACATATACATGACTAGGCAGGTTAATCAAACAGTAACAATATCACAAAAAAAAAGAAAAGAAAAGAAAAGGAAAGGTAGTAGTAGGTCGCTAAATGGAACCTTGTCTCTACAACTTTTGATTCGACTGCAAGTGTGACTTGCCAGTCCTCGAACAAATTAGGATACTCTTCTGGATCAGCCAAAGATTCTGAACCTTTCTGGTTGACCTGCAGATGATATTTAACCATGGTAAATGCTTTTCATAGATAATTCAGAGTTCATCATTCACACTGGTCAGCACATCATCTGGTAACAAAGATATTTCAAACAGGAAGCAAACAACAGTAAAAGTGTTTCCATGGTGGAAGAGTTTTTTAAGCTAAGGCAATAGATGACCCATCTAAGGCAAAAGAATACCCTTCCAGTGGAAATGAGCAAAAGTTTTGAATCTCAATCTCTCCCCTTTCTCAATGGGTATGTCTCCAATCCAGCCTACTCCTGTCATCTAAACACAGGACATAACACACTTATAAGCTCCACTCGATTAGAAAATGAAGGAGTATTTTCTCACAAAAAGGACAAATGCACATTACATAAATTAAAATCATTTTACCAGTGTAAAAAATAACTTTTTTTATGCTGATCTCAAAATAGAGCAAGCCCATTTCAGTTCACTATCATGATCCGGATGGTATACTTGGATTGGTAGTTCAATATATCCAAGCCCATTCAGACATAGTACCATCCTCTTCTTCATCTTCAAGCACAACAAGCTTAATATCCGTTTTAGTTCATTATCATGATCCGGATGGTATACTGGGATTGGTAGTTCAATATATCCAAAATGACCTGAAATGAGAAACAGAGAAGAACTTCAGCTGTATTTTTGTGATTGCATAAAAAAGGTAAGATAATTAGCTCAAAGTTTTCTGACAGTGAAAACTTGGTCACTGTCCACCAAAAAAAAATTGATAAGTAAAATAGAGTTTCTACAAAAATTACAAAGCCAAAAAAAGGAATATCCTACATACCTTCACACTGCCCAGGTTCAGCAGTACCACAAGATTCACATTTACCAGATTCAAGGGGCGGACCAAGAAAGGGATTTGAGAGTTGACTAGCATGGCTGATAGGGCAGTCACTATTGGATGATGCACACTAGCAAAAAGAATCACAATAACCAAGCAGACCATATGTTGTTCAAAGTTCAAGTATCCCCATTATTGTGAATTTTACACAAAACCTACTTAAAATTATACAAACCCGCATTGCAAAATCCCAATTTCCCTTTCCTTTCCTTACTGACATTTTCTCAGCAACCAGACATACCCCATGTTGACCAAAGGACTAGAATCGCCAAATTGAAATCATATACAAAACCACCATGCAAATACACCAAATCCACCTACAATCAAACAGACCCGCGTTCTAAACCCTAGTTTCAGAAAGGAATATCCACAATATAAAAGTCGAGAGATTACTTTAGCTAAGACAACCACAATTTAGGGAAAAAAAACAGACATTACTACCCAGTACGGACACTACCACCCAGCAGATTATGTTTATACTTATATACATATAGAACACATGCGTGTGTGGGTTTATGCTTGCATATATGTTTGTGTACTTAAAAACACACACCAATGTCAATAGGCACACACACACAAAAAAAAAACAACTTGTGAAAAAATATCATACCTGCAGTGAATTGATAGTGATAGGAAGATGTAGAAACTATTACCTTAGCTGATAGTTGAGAAAGAGAGGGGTTTCATCTTCACACTATTCGGGTTTCTTCGGACCGTTGGAGTGACGAGAGAGAGAGAGTGTGTGTGTGTGTGTGTGTGAGAGAGAGAGAGAGAAAGAGAGTGGAAGATACAGAAAATGAGTTTTAGACTCTACATCAGTGCATGCAGTGAGAGCGATTGGTGATTTTTGTGTGGGAAGGGAATTACTTTTTGGAACCGTACAATGGCAAGCAAAGAGATATTGGGGTTGGGGAGGGGGGTTTCGAAAATCGAGAGAAGAGAGATTGAAACTTTATTCAAGCTCTCACTCTGGAATTCAAAGATCACCAATTAAAGATGGGGTTACTGCTTCTCCACAATGCCGATTCAAGCTCGCAGTGGAATCCAAAGTTCGACTCATTCGTTAATGGCAAGGAACTAGCAGAACTAGCGCTCGCTTTAATCTGTGTGTGAGGTGGGGGTGAGGTGTTGATGGTGCCGGAGGTGGTAGCTGTCTTTGGTTCGGATTGAGAGAGAGAGACAGAGAGAGAGGGGGGCTGACGATCAGAAAGGCTGGGGAATCTGAGGAAGGGTTTTATGTGGGAAGAGCTCAAAACACCCAAAACGACGTCGTTTTGGGTTTTTAAAAATTGTGACAAAAAAATACGTCGCGAATTAATATTTTATTTTATTTTTACAATAATCTGTGTAGAAAAATTTAACGTCGCCATAAAAATTCTTAGAAAATTATATTGCGAAAAAATTAATTAAATTATTATTTTTAAAATTTTTAATTTACGTAAAAATTTATTTGTGACGTTTTTTAAAAAACGTCGCGACAAATTAATTAAATTATTATTTTTAAAAATTTTATATACGTAAAAATTTATTATTTTTTAAAATACGTAAAAATTTTAATTAAATTATTATTTTTTATTTAATTTGCAAATTCCCACAATTTCTTCCTCTAAAAACAATTAGGAGTGAATTGTCTTTTCGCGACGTTTTGAAAAATAACGTCGCAAAAAAATGCCAACATAGAAATTTATAATTTATTTTATTTTAAATATTAGATTATTTATTTTTGCGACTAGATAAAACTATTTGAGACGAACAATTTTTGTCGTAAAAAATTGTCAATTCCCGCCATTTTTCCCGCCAAAAACAATTAAGAGAGAATCATCTTTTCGCGTCAAAAAAAAAATTGACAATATAGAAATTTGCGACATAATTAAAAAATATAATAAATTTTTTGCGACAAATTTAAAATTATCGCATAAAAAAACATCGCAAAAAATACTTTTTATTGCAGTGCCAAGAGCCTTGAGGGCTCGCAAATCATGCACAACACTCTGCACCTCTGACTTCGTAATGGGTCTTAATAATTCATTGCTCATCTCATCTGTAACCCTTCTCTGCATCGCACTCAGAGCTTCACTCCAATCTTTTACCCCCACATTTCTGAACGAATTCTGGAAATACTCAATGATATGGGAGTTGATCTCCTCCTCCCCTTCAATCCACTCAACCTCCTCAGTCTTAAGTTTCTGGATCTAGTTTCAGTTTTGTCTTTGGATGGTAGTCAGATGAAAAAATCTTGTGTTCCGGTCCCCCTCTTTCAGCTAGTTGATCCTAGAGCGTTGCAGCCAATGCTTCTCAATCTGAGAACACAAACTCCGCTTCCAAAATTAGATTTTCCTTTAGGGGCTCCAACATTTGAATATGGACTAGGTCCTTGTCCAGCTTTTGGATAATCTTTCTGTTGTTACCAAACTTGAGTTTGTTCCATTCCCACAGGAAATTTTTGCACAAATCAAGGTTAGAGAGGGCTTTTTGAAAGGCAGAGTCTGGGTAAGTCATGTTCCAACTGGTTTTAACCACCTCTTCACATTCAAGATCCTCCAACCACATAGACTCAAACCTGAATGTGTAGGGAACCTTCTTTCTTCTTAGGCCAAGATCGATCAGTAGTGGACAATGATCTGACCCCATTCTAGTTTCATGGGTCACCTGTGTGGGGGGGAAGGAGGCTCCATTCAGGATTGACCAAGACTTTATCTAAGCGCTCTTGAACATTAGCCGGACCTAGTCTGTTGTTTGACCAGGTGAACTTAGGTCCATTGAATCCCATCTCCATCATGCAGCAATCGGAAATAAGTTTCTGCAATTCCTCAATTCTCCTTGTGTTGCTTGCTAAACCACCCTCTTTCTCTCCCATGCCTCCAATTACATTAAAGTCCCTAGCAACTAGCCAAGGGGTCTCCACAATTCTGGCCAAATTTATCAGCGTATCCCAAGCTCTCCTTCTCTTCTCCAAATTTGTATCAGCATAGATAAAAGTGCATTGTCATTCATTCGCGGACTGTTGTGAGTATACTTTAGGATTGATCAAGTTCTTGTTAGTCTCAATCACTTGCAGGTTAATGCCATCACGCCTCTTCTTTAAATCCAGTAGTTTTCAGGTGTTTTGTTTTTATGTTTAATCGTATTTGGGATCTTCAAAGTATGAGATTTGATTTATTATGACCTTTAATATTTTAATTACATCATTTTAGTCTCTGAAATATTGAATATATTTCTATGTGATCCTTCAAACAAGAGTCTTGTTAATCCTGAAAGGAAAGTCGAAAGAATTACAGTAACCCAAATTATTTTTTGTCCATATTTTAGTACCATGTGACAAGTTTATGATAAAAAAACCGTTATCAATTTAGGTATTGTTTACTTAACGGATCACATAAAAATATATTTAATTCGTTAAGGTCCAAAATAATATAATTATAATATTATGAACCAAAATAAGACAAACTCTATATTTTGGGATCTCTGGTGCATTTAATCCTAATTTTTATAATAATATTTTTATTGACTTGAGACAATTTTAATTGACTTACACACACTATATGATTGTGCTAAGTGACATGCATATATTATAAGAAATTGCCATAATGTATACTAACTTGTGGGACACATAAATTAATTGTTTTTAAAAAATTTCTTACAAATTAATTAATAGGTGGTATACATTCATTAAAAATATATAATATTTTATTGATAATATAACATAATGGTTGACACTGTTTGAAAACTTTTTGGGGCTGGATGAATATTATTACAAACTATTGGCATGTGGAATGCAATGGATTGTACAACTCTCACTCAATGCTATATACAGTGAATGGCAAGGCCCCTCATCGGTTAGATTTTTCTGTCCGAGTTGGCTCTCAACGGCATGGTAACAACAGCATGACAAAGAAGGGCTTCTCGAGTAGTTCAAATAATTGCAAATCTCCAACAAATTTACCGTCTAAGTGTCACTAGTCGCATAGGCATGACAATTCTAAATACGATTCATGAACAATGAGGCATTGCACTAAGCGCATATTCGTAGAGCATCGTGACGTGCAAATATCCGGTCTTTGATGATCGTCGTAAGAATAACAAAACTTATACTTTATGTGTGTTCTACATGACATCACTTATACGCGATACAAAACTAATTCGACTCAATTGTATTTAACGCAGTTCAATCTCAAATGCGAGTTTAAATTGTTGTGCAGGGTCGCCTCAGTAAAAGCTTGCAAGCATTTAAGCTCAGCAACTAAGCCTAAACTTAATATTTTATTAAAAAAAAATTAAAGATTAAACCTTAGAATATAATACTCAATCTCAACACAATTAATTTCTCACAAAAAAAAAAATTCCTCCAAAAAATAACCATAAAATTGAACCCTATAAACTCATATTTCTCAAAACATCTATAAGTAAAATGAGAAAAAACGAAAAGTACAGATGGCCTTGGCCATTCTTGGAACAATTGGGTACGTTCGTCTGTTAATTAAATCGTGCTTATTGACCAATAAAAATAGGAATATTTATTAGACAATAATGTATTCGAGTGAAGCCGTGCCAAATCGAGTCCTATGTTATCTTGATTTGGTTCCATTACCCAACAAACTTAAAAAATGTGACTGAATTTTCGTAACATTTGCAATTTAAACGAGCTAAATTGAGTTGAGCTCAAATTCCTTGGTCATTTGATAACCCTAGTGGTGAGGTTGGCACTACAAGAAAAACAGTAATTGTCAGCGTTTAATCGCCTGATAAGAATATACCTATTCACTATATCAAAATGACACATATTATAGATTCACGAAATTTCAATTAAGTGCAAAGGAAATGATGAACCACTCCATTGAATAGTTGTATTCTCGAAACGGATAAACATCAAATTGCACAGTCCATATCTTAAATTTGAAATATCAGTACTGTTTTATTACAAGTAGCAATACTTTATTGCACACACATATCACTTATTACCAGTAGATAGTAGATACAGGATCAAAGTGGGGTTACTACTTGTCCCTTGTGAACAAGTTTTAATATATATATATATTATGTTGATCTCCTATGTATATATACATAGCAAACCCACCAGCACTCAATTTTGTTGATCTCCTCCAATATTCAACATGTTGTATCTTGGTCCACTTCGAACTACTGTAATATAGTAGTTTCACCTTCTCGGATTGCAGTTATGTATTGACGTCCACGATGAGAAGTTATATACGACCGGAGCTTCGAGAGTCGCCGGTTCTCAATGCCAGCCTTCACTATTTTGTACGAGAAGTAGTCCTTCAATGGGTCTTTATCAGATTTCTATATCATTAAAAGAAAATAATCTGCATGAGTAGGTAAACCATCCCATTGGATTTTCTTTTGTACATGAACCTCTTTCGATTTTAAATAAAAGAAAATGATCTATATGCATCGTGGTTTATATATAATACAATTGTATATGAACATAATGTTCCTATTTTTTATACAATCAAGATAGAACAGAGTAGTCTTGGACAAAAAAACAAAAAAAAAAAACATAAATGCAATACCAGTATAAATCTTTTAATGCTCTTTGAAGACAAATAATTATTTAAGACAAGAATTCAATAATTTACGTGTTTCGATTGCCAAACTAGCAACCTACGTGCATGAGAGAAGAGAGGGAGATGTTCTTATTCATTTTGTCTCAAGAGAGATCACATTAGTAATATATAAGGATGAAAGGATTATAGAATGCCACTGCTTGTGCAATTTAATTTGGTAACTGTCAAGAAAGAAAATACCAAAAACGTAGTCTTAATAATCAATCCACTAATAAAAACAAATCCCGTAATATCCTCTCTTTTCCACCAACAATGTTCACGCAGTCTACTAAAAGTCATGCATGATGCGTGCACATACTTTGGGTTGTAAATTTTACTTATTAACGTGTTAACAATATAGATCTGAAATTATACATAGGCCTTGCAATTCAAGACACGCCCCACAAACTCAGCGTAGCCTGAAATTAATACAGAATTAGCAGATATAAATTAATTTCAATAAGTACTTTGAGTGATAAATAGGTAAATCCGTTAAACTCATCCAATAAATAAGTTGACACGGCTCATTAAATATAAGAATAACGTCGCAATCACCACTTATATAGGATGGGTGAGGTATAGGATGACATATTTTCACACAATATGACTTAGACACGATACAATACAACAGACACAATTTACTGACGGCCCTAAATACATAAATCCAAAAATGAGAATACCAACTAGGCCGAATAAAATAAAAGTCAGTTATTGTTAGACAGGCATAACATGTTTAGTGAGTAATGTATAAAGAAAATGAGCATTTTTGACTATATTTATTTTTTAATTTTGTATTGTAAGCAAATTTTTATATCTAAATAGGTTTTCTATTATAACCAAAATTGCACAAATTAAAATAATATAATTTGAATATATGACACGACTCAAAAAGAATCCGTACAAAGGTCAACGGCTCGATTGACATTAGACCCCTGTCCAGTCCATCCCCCTCTCTACCCATAAAAAAAAAAGGCAAAAAAAAAAAGTCAACGTGGTTACGGGGTGGGGGTGTCTGCTTGAATACTCTGAATGAAATGAGATCGAGGAGGATAAAGACAACTCACCTGTCCCTCGTACTTGGTATCATAATAGAGCCATGGCCCAAAGTGCTTATACTCGAACGTGCCGCTGCAAGTAGGCAACCTAGGAATAAGATCATTAGAGAAAACAAACCTAAAATACCGTATGCGATACTCTTCTAACTTTCTTGTCATGAACGCCGCAAACTCTTGGTTTCCAACCATAGGCTGCCCAAATGTGTACACTGCCTTCAACCTGTTCACTATATCCGATTCTTCGTGCAATAGTAGAACTGCCAAAAAGAGAATTGCCAGTGCGCCCCCCAAGCTGTGTCCAGTCAGAATGAATTTCGTTTGACGATTTCTCCTAAAGATTTCTCTCAATTTCTCTCGGATGGAGTAGTAAGCTAACGGGCGATTATCATCTCTGTCGACATCTCTAGGCCATTTGTCATCCATCTGTAACCCTAAGGCTCTCATAAAACCAGAATGGACTCTTTCGGTGCCTTGGCCGAACTTGCACCCAAAGATATTGACGTCGGTGCTCAATGCATGTACATCCAAGGGTTTGGTGCCTCTGAATACCACCACGATCATTTCAGGGTTGGGATTATAATCATGAAGCATGAAGGCTTTTGTTGAATGATTCTGTTGATACACTGCCAAGCATAGAAATAGAATCATCTTAAAAGTTGTCCAAGGATATTTAAGGGTATAGAAACTATAATAAGCAAACTCAGTAACTATATTACAGTCATTTTCTTATAAATTATTTTTATTTTTCCTTATGTCTAGTTCTTTTGTAAGAACTTTTTTTATTTTATTTTAAATCCATGTGTGTTAATGTAAAATCATATTTATGAAAAATGATTTTATCATTAAATATATAGATTCATATTCAGTGAACACACTTTTAATATTAACCACGTTTTTCACTCTCCCAAAAAAAAAAAAAAAAAACTACCCTTTGCACCTAAATAAAAACACATTGATAAATAAATTAAAAACTATGCGAAAATGACAATAAAGTCCAAAAAGGATCGTTTAATGATCATAAACTCAAATAGTACAGTCTAAATTATATTGGGAAAAAATATCGTGTACTTCATTACCATTCCAAAAATCTTTCGCGTCCAAGAGGTTCATCTGCATGAGAGGAAAAAAATAATTTTGATAAATATTAAATATTGGAGAAAATATATAAAAACTTAGTTATATTTAGATTGTATGAGTTCAATATTTTTGTCAAATGAAATGTACTTGTATAATTTGAAGATTGTACTGAAATGGAGGCAAAATCTACATTGTATATGATTCTACCTACATTAATCCATTGTTTCTGAAGTACATCTTTTATGAACAGGTTATTCTTATATGCCATTTTGGAAGCAATTACGCAAAGTGTCGGAAAATATTTGATATCTTCAGGTTCGGTGAGCAGGTCTAAATCCTGTCTCTTGCTTGGACTTTTGAGAGAAGACAAATATTTATGTTCGTCTTCCTCCGGGACCTCCATCTTCCCTACAAGACATGCATTCAGGATCAATTGTTCACTCTGTCTCATATAAACAAAGAATTTACAGGAACAAGTTAGGGAAGGATAGCTGCAAATTAAAGGCCATAATCATCACGGCAGAGATGAAATTAGTTAGTGTCTGTTTAAGGGCACGATGGTTGAACGAGTTACACATTCTTGTTTGAAGCAATTATCAAACCGTAGGAGATGTTTGTTGTTATTAAAAATAACGTGAATATAATTAGATTTAAGAAACTTAATAACTATTGCAAATCTAAAATAGAAAGTCTACGGTTTAAAACAAAATAATGCACTCACATGGATGTAGAAAAGCAGCAACAACCAAACCAAAATAAATAAAGAATAAATTCGAGCCATATATCTACGGTCTCCTTAAGACAAATTTATTCCCTCTCGGTGCTTAAAGTAGATGAGCAATTGTCTCCCAAGATAGAACAGATTTACGTTTTTGACGAAGTAACACTTCAATCACCAAGACTCCAACAAACACAATTTTGCATCTTGTACTTGAACCGACGAAGAAGAACAATGATGCAACAATATGTATGCAAAGAGAGATGAAACATAATACAAAATTCTGAGGTTCAGAGATTTTTGTATGTTTAGTATTTTTCATCGGTAGAGAGGATACCTTTTCATAGACTACAAGCATCTGTTCAATTAAATTGAACATGAAACGGACGTAACTGTTCATCACACCTGTTCAGATATACACTCTGGACGACAATAATTACATGGCACGTATTTTAAAAACTAAATTAAAAAACTGTTGAACCAAACACTAGAAGGCGAAGATAACAGATCGCGAGGCAAGACGACCACCGGAGGGGATGCCCAAGGCAAGGGAAGGCACTAGGAACCCAAACCAAGGCGCTAAGGCCTTGGGCCCCAGTTGCTGGCCCCTGCTTGTATCGTCCATTACTCCAATATGATTCATTTTTTATTCAACTCTAAATTTAAAATTTTAATCTATTATACCAATACAAATTAGTAATTTTTGAAGCATAATTTTTCATTAAAATATTAACATTTTTCAACAAATATTTAAATTATGGACCCACTAATTTCGATGTGTGAGTCTCATTTTTAATTTATTTTTTATTACTATTTTTTCGAACATTTATTTCCAAAGTCTGTCTCAGGCAGTTGGGTAAGCGGGAAGTAAAGGCTAGAAGCATCACAAAGAAGTGCAGAATTATCAACGGTATGTTCATATGAATGATATTATTTTGACTTGATTTAACTTTGTTCTTATAATAGTCGTAGGGTTTTTGCTCGTTGTGTTGTGATTCACTATTATGTAACAATAAGGCCGTGTTACTACTATTTAAGTTCTCATTTACCTAACCAATGAGTTTTTTGTTCAATTGTATTTTTTATCTTGTAAAAACTTTGTCTTCTTAAGGTCAAAAGATCAAATTCCCCTTCCCCTTCCCCTTTCCCTTAAAAAAAAATAAAAAATAAAAAAATAAGTTCTCATTTACCTAATATTTTTAGGCACCGATTATTTCTAGTATACATATATCTATGAACAAAATATATAAACTAAATTGTTTCTAGACTGACGAGTAAAAAAAACATGGTTGAAATTATGCTCAATTTGGTATGATGGAAAAATGAAAAGATAGAAAGTTGAAATGATGAAAAGTTTAAAAAATAAATAAAATATCATGTTTAGTAAAGAAAAAAAATAAGAAGGATGAAAAAGTGGATGAATTAACTTTCCTTCCAACTCACCAAAATCAATCCCTCTAAAATCGGAAGAAAAGTGGATGAAAAGTTAATTATTTATGTTGAGATGTATCTTATTTGTCTATATATCTTTTGATATATACATATATTATGTATATATTAATTTCATATAAAAATACAATGATAACATATATATATACTAAAAAATTTTAAAAATAAATTTAAAAATAAAAATAAATAAAAATTTTAAATTAAAAAAATATTTTTTTCATCTTAGCTACGAGTGAAAATTTTTGACTTAACAAGATGATACAACTCGAATAAACACTTTCTTTATTTTATCATTTGTAAAATAACACAAAACTAACATGTTTAACTAGTATTATAGACATAAAATGTTAATTATTTGTAACTATTTATTAAGCACTTACATAATTATTATATAAAAAATATTTTTAATTATTATTATTATTATATTTATTTAACTTAATTTTTTAGTTTGTAGAAAAAAATATTAACATGGATTCAATTAATTTAAAATAGAATGTTAGCGTTAAATTTTTTATTAAATGTTTATGTGGGTCAATACGAATACGAACACGAACACAATACGAAAATAAACAGGTCAACTTGTAACTTGACACGACACAATTAGTTAAATGAGTTAAGTTAGATATGACTAATGTTCAATATAAACCAGTAATAAGTCAACACAAATCTGACACGATATGATACGACTCAATTATCATCCCTAATCTTAGCCAGTACCAAAAAAAAAAAAATTAATCATTTTTATTTTTAATCTATCGTACCAAAAACAAATAAAGGAAAGTGTATCATTCCTACTTTCTTTCTTCGAAGGATAGAAAGTATATTCCTCTTACTTTTCATCTTTTCTACTTTCCATCATTTCTACCAAACGGAACATTAACTCTTTTATAAAATGAGCTATTAAAATGATTTCGAACTCTGTTCATTTCACAATCCGGATACGAACTGATCCTGAATTATTCAAAAACAACTTAAAGTCGTTTTGCAGACCAATGCTAACATGGTAAGAAAACAGACCTAGCTTTGTAATAAATTTACTAAAAGCACACAAGTTGTTACCTGATTTCTCAATCTTTTTTCCAATCCTTGAACGCGCTATGATTCTCGTAATTTTCGACATTTGATCACTGGAAGCAATGATGAAGCTTTGGGAAGAACCTGGCTAGTTGAGATTTTTATATATCTTGATAATAACTCAGCTGCAGAAACTGTTAGAATAACTGGCCACGAAGGCTTGGCCTTTTTGTGGAATGAAATGGTAGTTGAGATTTTTATATATCATGATAAATACTCAACTGCAGAAACTGTTAGAATAACTGGCTACGAAGGCTTGGCCTTTTTCGTGGAATGAAATGCAAACCGCCACAAAGGCCATGATCAATGGCAAAAACAGTCATTGGAATTTTAATTTAGACTCTCAAAAATTAAAAATTTTAATCTATATATTTAAATATCAAAATTTATATCAATATTCACCTCTATCTAACAATACTGTGTAAAACTAAATGTATAAATTATGCTTAGACCCCTCTTATACTTGTCACTTAATCACATAGATCCCTCACATTTGAAAAATTACACCACTATCTCTTGAGAATCTTAATATGACTAAAAACGTTCATTCAATTGAACATTCAAATAATTATATTTAAGTGATATATTGTATTGGATATAATGAACAATGTATTAGGCATTCAAATGGTTAGTTTAATTTTGAATTTTAAAATATAACGGACCCACAAAATAAAGGGTAGTATGAAATTATAATTTTTTATTAGGATGAAATCATATTTTTTAATAGTTATATTAACATATATCAACGGCAAAGGGTTATATATTACTCATACACAAATGTCAGGAATTATAAGAGTAATATTCTAAATGTAAATGAGATCAAAATGATTAAGTGGTAAGTATGAGGAGATCTATGTATAATTTATTCATTTAGTTCTAGACGACAATCAAACGGTTGTAAATTTTAGGTGTGCATTAACACAAATTTATATATTTGAGAGTACACAGGAGGTGGCTCAACAGCATTAAAAAAAAAAGTTAGGATTTTACGCTCCAAATTTTTAAAAGGCTTCACAATTTTAAATACATTACTAACAAAGAAAAATTTAAATCCTTGAAATTTTAAACCCAAAAAATTAAGTACAGTCAAAATTTCTATTTTAATAATTTGGGCAACACTAACACGTCCTTCTTCTGTCTCTTTTTTATATAATGAATTATTTTTTAAAAAAATTTAATATTAAAAATAAAAAAAAACCCTCATTTAGTATTTTCACTTTAAGTCTCAAATTTTCCTGTCATTGAGGGTACAAATTAAAATTTTTATCTTTAAAGGTATAAATTGAGATTCGAATAAACTTTCAAGGGACAATTTATAATTAAATCTTACTTTTATGGAATGCACAAACTATTACAAGGCTTGGAATACCTTAAACTTTTGAATGGTTGCAAACGAACGTTGATGTTTTCCGATGTTGACTCGAGTCCAGAATGCACTAACTATTACAATGTTTCCGCCGTTGACTCGGGTCAACGTACATTGATGTTTTCCGCCGTTGACTCGGGTGCCGAATGCACTAACTATTACACGACTTGGAAGTATTACAAGACTTGGAATGCTTCAAACTTTTGAATGGTGGCAACTTACCGAACACGAGAAAATATTTGGGGTAACAGTAGCACCACGTGTCAACGACCACGTGGTGTTGCCAATAAATTGTAAAATAATAAATAAAATTGATAAACCCCGTTATTTTAATATAACAAAAATAGTGATCCAATCACTTTTATTGATCTGAAATATAAAATTTAACAAATAATTTGATAAATATAGCACTGCTCGTGTGTTATATGCCATGTGAAGTTTTAGTCACCTGTTCTTAATTGTTGCATTCGTTTGCTAAGTATTTAACTAATGCAAGCCTACAACGGTGAACGGACGGTAATTGCCAAAGAAAAGAAAAAAACACCAGGGAGAGGAAGTATTGATTTCCGAAAAATAATAATAAAATTTATACAGGTGAATAAAATAATCATTTATTGTATTAAAAAGCTAAACAGGTGAATAAAATAAATCCACTGCATTATACCCAAACATTTAAGAGATTGTTCAACACCTCTAGTGTGACAACAAACAACAAAAACACAGTTCAACAAAGAAAATACTGCTTTATTACTGTGCGTGCAAGATCCTGCACAATATAAAAAACGGGAACAGATCTCTCCCCTGGTGAACTTCGGGTGTGCCGGTTGAGTGAACAAGCACGCTGCTCGGAACAGCCTGCAAAGTACGGTAGTAACCCGGAACGGCAACGGGAGATCTTGGGAAAGGAAAAACGATCCTGTGGGGGTGAGAGGGGGTTCCTGGAACAAGGAAGAACAAGTTAGAAGGGCGCCGGAGTGTTTTCCGGCGTATCCCCTCCGACGGTCTAGTCAGTCTTTGAGTGAGAGAAGGGAATGAGAAAACACTGAGAAAAATGGTATTGTAGTAGAGAGTTTGTGATTGCATACCCGCTTAGCCTTTTGCAAGGAGTATTTATACCTTAAAGACTCATGATTGCTGTCAGTGTGGTCAGCAGGTGATCATTAGGCACAGGTAGCGTGTGCATTGATTCTGATGAGGAATGTCTTCTCTAATTGACTGCTCGGGGTCCCGAGCAATCAATGCTCAGTCGTCGGGATGCCGACGGTACAATATGCTCCTCTCGGGGAGGATGCAATAAATGCTCTGTAATAGGAGCATTTATTGCCTTTTATTTTCGAGCCTTACTGCATTAAATGCGGTCTCATCAACAGAAGGGTGCAATTAATTGTTTGCTTTCCCAAGCAGTGTGTCAGTAACGGCGTGCAGTTTGTCTGTCTCTGATGTGACATCATTTGCCACGCGTCCATCCCCCATTGGATGTGACCTCTGTATTCCAGTGTGTTCTGACATTACTTGTGTAAGACGAGGTCATGATGAGTAGCCTAGACTAGCCTAGGCTAGTGACCTATACGTCAATAGTTTATCTTGGAGTAGAAGAAAGCGTCCAGGACGGAGCAACTCTCGGCACCGAGGAAAGGCTCATCTCGGGGACCGAGAGAGGTATGCGACCCGAGGTACATTGGTGACCGAGGACACGTGTTGGTTGTATAATATACTGAACGCATGATCCTATATGA